GGGAGTTCCCCTAGTGCCGGACGCTTAAAGTTTTTCTTAAATATATAAACAGAAATAATGTTTTAATCTTTTTATTCTGCATTATTTATAAGTTAACAATATTGGAACTCCAAATAAAGGAACAATATAATCAACATTATCGTAATAGTTAACTTAAATGAACGTTAAACTTTGGTATATGATTTTGAAAAATCATTAAGTGGCCCCTAGTACCGGACACAGTAAGACTTAGTAACTTAACTCAGGACAGTTTCAATATAATTTGCAGCGATCACAAATATAATTATCCGAATACTCGGGAATATCGGTACAAGCCTCGTGTGCCCATTCTTGGCAGTTTGAACATTGAATCCAGTCTTCTTCGTTGCTTTCCTAACACACAACACAGAGTCTCCTGGTTTGTCTCTCTTGGTTTCAGTGATCTGATTTCCTTAAGCTTATTTACTACGTTTTTCTTTTGTTCTTTATTTCTTTTTTTATTTTCTTTCTCTTTAGTCAATAATTTATGCGGAGATGAAGAGAAAGAATGAGATTTGTACTGTCCGGCAATAGGGGAAACCGTTTAAACAAATTCTTTCTTGTAAAAACCAGTGCACTGTATACACAAAACACAATGACAATTAAAAAAGTACTTACGAAAAGATACAATAACGCAACACACACGTCTTTTGGCCAAGGAAAGTGGTAAATATGACACTTTATAATTTATACGATGCACCAGATTCCAGTCAAACAGGCAAATATGAATCGATTTCCTTAGCTGTGCACGCGCGATTGAACGTGTCGAAATCTGATCGTTGTTTTTTCAATCCCCTCTACCACTTACGCGGGATAATGGCTCGCTAGCATTTCAACTGTCACAGATATAGATAATGTTCGATATTAGGTGCCGTCCGGCGTTAAGGGAACTCCCCCTACACTTGGTTCGTTTTATTTCAACCATAATACATAAGAATTGATATTTTTAGGGTGGTTTTATAGTTATGCCACGCAGTGTATAATGAAGAGATAAATAGTTAAATTTTGAAATTCTTTAAAATAAAAATCATGGAACCTCGACTAAATTTACCTACATATGACAGAATAACATCATTTCTTAGGAGAAAAATGTGACAAATTGACACATGGGACAGATAAAGATTAAGTCAACGTCGGTTACTAAAATTTGTTCACGCGAAGACGGCGATGATGAAACTGAGAAAATATTCGTGTATATTTGGTCGTTGTTATTTTATTGTCACACTGTAGTTGTGGTACAATCTAGGAAAAGTAACAAATTACTCATATTAAAATAGTTTATCTAAAGAAATCTTCATAACAGAGAATAAGGATAAAGGAGCTCATAAAATTTTCGTGACAACGAAGTGAAAGATATGTGAACATGCAAACAAATTTTTCCTTGCGTAATTTTGTCATCTTTCGTAAAATAATTAATGTTAGAAAATTTGTGATTTCGTTGATTCGAAAAACATAAATTTTCATCCACCGATTAGCCATTAATTTCTGAAGGTTCACCACGAATGCTTCAAAATGAATTATATACAGGAAGACATGAAATATAAATTGTAGAATTTCAAAGATACATCGTAGTACTCACCAAAACAGAACACTTCGACTTTCAAAGCATTAGGTTTTTTTATTTATGGATGTAATAACAGCCGGGCTAGTTGATTAGCGACTTTAATTATATTAACGAAATAAACAAAAAATGAGTGGATTGGAATTTCTGGAATTTAAAAATTGGTTTTTCATTAACAGAATATATAGATGAAAATTTCTCGTAAAACTGTAAATCATCGTGTATTGTAATTTTGTACACAACTAATTCTCGCGAAAAAGTAAATTATATGTTTAATAAAATAGACAGCCGAATTTATGTTGGCAAAATATTTTACGTCTACAACCGAGAACACGTCACATTCACAAATTATTCTCTATTTCCTTTTTGTTATTATATATTTTAATCCAGGCGAAATAAAATAAAAATAGAACAATAAGAATTAGGGAAACATAATTGATGTCTCTTTAATTGACAAGTCTTTCGTAATATAAAATTAGCTAACTGAATTACTTTTACTAACCAACGCGTAATATTAACCCTTATTTCATTCGACTATCAAAAAACGAAACTAACATGATATTTCTGAAGTACACCAACTTCAAGCTTTCTTTTATTCTATTTTTGAAAAATTCGATGTAAATCACCACTTGCTAATTAAATAAATTGTACAGAGAACGAGGTAAAACGTGGCGTAAAGTAAACACAAAATTGAATTCCTAGGTTCAAGCCTCACGATAAAACAGGGTCACAGATTCGCGTGAACGAAAGCAGCCGATAAATTGTTAGGAACGAAACAGAAAGAATCCGTAACTATGGGCATCGTTCCAGCGTTGATGAACGATTGGAATGCACAAATTAGCGATCGGTATAATCAAAAGAATCGTTTCGCTCGAAAAATGGAGAACTCTCACTAGCCTGTATACCCAGTAGCGGCTGGCTTCGGTGTCCATCTCCCAAGTTCTTCGACCTTCGAATTCAGAATCGTTTCAAATTTCATCAAAAAAAAAAAAAGCTATGAAGACTCACAGGGCTTCACGAAGCTAGCGGTGTGATAGGGATTGGGTAGGGAAACGCGTTTAAGAAAAAAAAAAATGAAGAAGTAAAAGTCGAAACCTCGTATCGGAGCGTCAGCCAGCAAACAAAGCGCAAACATACGCGCGATGACACCTGTACATTCGTGTAAAGCATAGCGGAGCCTTATTGAGAAAAGCAATATGCATCCTTAAAAACTGCTTAAAGTCTTTACAAACTGCTAATTCTATTCGAGTAATTAATTCCTACGCTAAGTAACGTCGATGTGTCTGAATTCTCGGAAACTAACGCTTTTCTGTCAGGCGTCTGACACGTATACCGACGAAAAGCCCCGTGTTTTTCGAGCATTTAACGGCACAACCCACGGATAACAATCTCGAATTTTTTATTGTATCATGTTCCACTACAACGCACAATCTTACTTAACTCTGAACGATCGGTAATATTGCCGAATCGTTTCCACTGCCATGTAAACCCTTTAACTGCACTTACTTGTTACGATATAGGGACGATTTCCTTTGTGGAAACGTTTCGGATCTTCTCCAGAATTATGCGACATATCGGTCTAATAAATGTATTTTATAGAAATTGTTTCGTTTCGTTCGGTTAAAGGGTGAAAATGATCGTTTCAGAAATACACTGCCATTCGTAAATAATGGAACAAGTGGTCCGTTTGAAGAAAATGTAATGTTTCATGTCATTATTATTACTTTGTATTAGTCCAAGTCTGATCCACCGAGCTTTAACCTTTTTCCTTCTAACACCAACTGTAGTTGGTGTCCGTAAGCCATGGAATAAAAGTTTTAAAATAATATTAAAATATACTTTTAAAGAAATACTATTTTTATGTAATTTCTATCATACTTTTATGCAACGGATCTAAAAGTGTGCAGTAACTAAAGATCGTACCATGATACCTACCAGAGATCGTAAACAAACGGATTAATATCCACTAAACAATCTATATTTCAGATCTTCACTGATTTCGTAGTCACTTTAGATTTCATATATTTCCTAATGCATACGTATGACAGTGTATTTCTCGTTACAAAACGTTGTTCAAGTGCGCCTAGCACGAGCAAGTAAACACAAAAACTGTAATTGTACGAAATACACAATAGTATACTCTGGTGACACCTTGGACTATTCGATGACTGTTCTAAGTTACAAATCATGTTTTTCTTTCTGTCCTATTTAATTTCTATACACACGTGTGTGTGCATACTGGAGGAATCGATGTTATACCGTGGGCGGCAACCAGAGTCTTCTCGACTCGGTGTAAATACACTTCCGAAAAATAGCATGTAAGAATCATTCATCGCCTATACGATTTTCTCCCATTTATTGAATCTTCAACGTAAAGTGTATAATAACGGCGAGCACGGTCCCGAGTACGACGGCCATCTTTCCGCCGCTTCTTAGCGGATGGAACCGATCGCCGATGATTGGCTGGGGTTCGAGCCTGTAAATAATATTGCGACGACGAGGAAAGAGGCCGAAGGAAACAGGACCAGCTCGAGAAATAAGGAAAAATAGTAGCGGCGCTCCGTATTTTGGCGTGAAGGATAAGCAAAATGTGTAGACTCGCGAGACCGAGCGGGGAGACGGTGGTTTTAGCGAGTCGTTGGGCCATAACATAGGTCACTAAATGTAATAATATTACATAGGGATATTCCAGCGTTATTTTGTACATAAACAACTTTATCAACGGATATTAAAAAATCATCAATAAATCTATATATAAAAAGTATGATACATGCGAATTTATCTCGAACGATACCCCCACTCCCGTTCCACGAGTTAAATCTTTTATCGAATATGAAGCGGATCGAGAAGTAATTCCAATGACTCATAATAACTTGTTTACGGAAGAACGTCGAAGCATAGCGATTCTACTTGTGTTCCTCAAATAACTGGTACATTACACACATGGCATAGAATCGTGCATCATAAATTGTATTTTGGTCTGACACAACACATTTATTTTGATAAAGGTTTTAGTATCAATACATGTAGATAGGATCGTACAATGACTTTATCTGTATGTACAAAAGATATAATTATATATACTGAAGTTTTCGTACAGGCGAACATTTATACATATATATTTCTCTGTTGTATCTAGATGTCAAATAAACAGACAGTTCTCACTGTCGAGGTTTTCGGGTGTAAGCTGTGACCTCGTGGAATTGTTTTCTCAACGTTCCGCAAGCATTGCAGCTAGCTTTATCAGGGGGTCGAAAGACACACTGATACTGGGACCAGAACATGGCTTACACCCCTGAAGCCTCAACAGTGAGAACTGTATGATGCTGGGCCGTGAAAGCCTCAAATCTCTGCTCAAATAAACAAATTTTTATTAACACTATACACTAAATAATCGAACGAAACAAAAAAAAACACTCGGAATGATGTTTTTTTTCATAAATTAACGTAATATCAGTGACTACAGATATTATAGTCACTGGTAAGATATTACGAGAAAATTGATTCCCTTATCTAAAAAATGAACACACATGACTATTAATGATGTTTGTGATAATCTGAAATAATGGTACACGTATCGACACAAGCAATATTTATTATTTTTCGTTTATTTTTTGCTCATCGCGAGACCAAGGCCAAGAATGCTTGCAATACCAATAATAACCCCTCCTGCAATGGCTATACCGTAGAGTCCCTCTGTAAAAAAAAAAGGTACATATAATACTGACAACAGTGTAGAATCTTAATGCTTCTTCACTTTGAATATTATTACAACCCACATTGCTACCAAATGATACACCGCATGAACAAGAATGTATGCTGAAAAAAAGACTACTAGTCAACTACTGTAAAGGCATTGAAAGGATTTATTTCATTATACGATTTTTATTATATGTACAAATAATACAAGGAAAAAGAGTAGGAAACAGCCATCTATGTACTAAAGTAATAAAATTTCATAAAAACAACTTATATAATTAAATACGAGGTCCCCTGTCGTATAGGAAACTACTTATGTACCAACTATCAGAATGCTGTGTCGTAATGCTTAATATAGGAACCAGTAAGTTTATTATAAAGAAAATACCATAAATAGATATTAAAAAATGCAAGATGCTCTTATTTTATATATACATAAACAGGTACACTGTGTTTGTACTTTCTTTGTATGTCTAATAAAATTCGTGATTTATCATAATAGTGATATGCGAAACTTTTTGTTCCAATTGTAATAATATACAGTGTGTATATTGTTTGAAGGCACAAAGAACTGAATTCAGTTATTATTAATCAGTCTTATTAAAAAGGAATATAGTGACTACCAGCCCATGAAACTACAAATGCAAGAAGAAATAATAGAAAATAAAAGAAGTGTCTTATAATGCTACGTGTAGATTGTAAAAGCAATGAGCCAGAATGAATAACAACCCCTAACTGCCTAAGCCAATAGTAATTTATAAAAAGAAAACCTTTTTCCATTTTTTTCTTGATCAGCGTCTCCAGGTGTTGTACTTGTTTGTTTCCAGGTTCAACTTTAAGAAATGCTCTAACATATGTTAAGGCCTTTGAGTATTCCTGTAAATATAATATTGAGTTACTTAATACTCAATTTCAGAAAAAATTATGAATAATTAATTAAATATTACCTTTACTCTAGCATTTCCAACAGCTAAATAATATAGACAATCTCGTTTCTCACTATCTGAATGGTTGCTATAAAGATCTTCTAATAAAATAATTCCTTTACGAATATCTGCAGGATATTTGCTTCTAACAAGACACCACGCATATTCAAACTGTGCCTTTTGTGTTACTAATGATGAATGGAATTGTTCATAATATATACGTTCAAATTTCTGAAAAAAAAATTTCTTATATATACATGTGCATGTATACTTTAATATGTGATGCAATAACTGAATCTGGATAATTAGAGAATTGTCAGTTTCTGATGACATCATCCTTTTAAATTAAAATATTTCAAACAAACATTCTATTATTAACATATAAAATGACATATACGCAAATACATGTCATAACTTAGATATTACCGTAATATCACTAACAGTATTTTACGATGTTATAAAAAACCACTGATAAATATTTGAAGCCCGAGTAGCTTTAAATTAGTCGTACATAACCTCCAAAAATAATGAATACGTTATGTACAATTGTATATCAAAGAGACAACTGACTACAATACTAAATTCTGCTGGCAAACGAATTATTTAATCTTCGACAATACCTGTATTCGACAGATTAGCTATTGCCCTAAAATACACGTGTATTTAGAAGCATAAATAAGCTGAGAACGATTTCTGTATTTTATGTCACCGGAATGGGTTACCTTCAAGTCGTCAGAAGAAACAACCTCTTCTAAGACATCCTCCATCTTCTAATATAGATACACGCGACCACACGATAAAATAAATTTATCCCGTCCTAAATTCTACCTTAAAAACAAAGAACTCATCACAAATCTACCAACTGTGTTCTGGCAAATCGGACTGTCAAAGCAGAGAGGAAATGAGAGTGCTCATGCCTGGGAATTCGTTGTTCCCGGGCAAGTGCTGCACCAAGCGGCCAATTCTAGAATAATAGTAGGAATCTACATGTTTGGTTCCACGCTAGCATATACAAGAACCCATTCGGCTCCACGGTAGCATCGCAGACAAGGTATAGAAGCATAGACGAGATATTCTCGTCTTTCATTCAACCTATTCATTCAATGTATTTCTTCGAACCACTTTTCTGGGGTGACGTCACCCTATTTTTTGGGGCTGAAAAATAGTTGGCGCGGAATACTAGTATTTCTTAACAATTTATATCTTAAAAAATTGCTCCCAATTTGCTCCCTCGGAATCTAAAATTGCTCCCATCGCAACTATTATATTTAATGAGACATTCAATTATTTAAGACAAAAAATTATTATTTAGGAATATAATTATTACAAATTTTTATAAGCACGTCTTGTAAGTAAATACACGTTTTTTTTAAATAATGATATAAAATATATAATCATTACACCTATAAACGGATTTTGTGTATGACAGCAATTTTTACAAAGTCTATAAATGAAATTAACAGCCCACTGAGCTGTAAATGCTACAGAGGATCCGGATTTGAACATTACAATAACTAAAAATGTCCAATATTAAAAGTAATAAATTCTAAATAAATTCCAAATAAGGTCTAAATAAATTCTAAATACATTCTAAATATATTTTAAATACATTCTAAATATATTTTGAATAAATTCTAAATAAATTCTAAATTAATAACTAACCTATAAATGAAAGAATTCTGAATAAAAATTAAAAGAATATCGAAATAAACATCGGAAGAATCTAACAATGGAGCAAGAAAAGCAATCCCGTTCTCTAATGGAAATTCATTGCATTGTAGATGTCATAAACTATAAACAGATTGCTATACATCCGTTTATCGTCTCCAAAAAGATGTAATAACGCGTTGTATATGCTACATTACATAGACATCCGATTCCCGCACGAGTCGGGACTGTAGAGGGCTAAATTTCCTGGGACCGTACAGGAATCGGTGACCAGTTACCCGAGCACTTTCCCCACCACTCGGCCGTTCATTTGTGCGACGCAGCTGCATATAGGGTGGGCTGGATATACGCAGTTTACGATTATGTTAATTACCTCCGTTATTTTTAGAGATATCAGAAAAGTGTATTCACAGAAATTTTTGTAGTATGGAGAGGGCTATTATTTAGCAATCACAGTTTTTTCGTAGGTAAAGGATCTTTTGAGTTCTCAAAGTTAATTATGTTCTTTTATTAATAATATTAAAATACTATGGAATAAAAATACTTTTTTTCACATAAATCGATTCTTCTAAACATGTTGCGTAATAAAGTATTAAGGTATTAGCTGAATTTAATCTGAAGTTAATAATTCGTGACATATTTTAGTGGTTGCCCCGCGGGTGGTGCGATTCATAGGGTCACAGCCGCGATGACCCTCGTTTCGCCCGCGGGGCAACCGGGCCGAGGAGGTGGTACTGGGGCTACCACCTCCTTTCGCGGTCGGCCCACGAGAAGACAGCGTCGAGAGGTGACCCCTCGGTGCTGTAGGTAGGAGGTGGCGGGACGGCATCAAAGCCGTTCCGGAGGGGGATGGGCAATTGCCCCCCTCCGGAGAAGAGCCCACCCCTTAAACACCTAGAGGGGAGGGCAATGGGCGAGACTGGTCGCGGTTATGCTGAGCGATCCCGTTGCCAGCCCTACGCCCGATGGTCACCAGGGGGTTTTTAGTGGGTGGAACCCCAGATTGGCCGTCTTCACCCCCAGCGGAAACGATGCATCTTTCCAAGGTTTTCCCCACGTAAAAAAAAAAAGGGATGAGGTTGGCAGTAGAGTGAGAGGATAATACATGGAGTCACAGACTTCTCTTTCTAATGGGGCTGTTGGTGGGGGATTCTCCTACGGCTGTGTGGAGGCATTGCATGCGTGCACTATTCCTTCTCCTCATCGCCCGCCAGTTGCTTTCTCCCTTCCCTCTGCGACGTGTGAACAAGATAGGAGGTACTCCAGCGCTACTTCCGTCCTTCGGTCTTGCTTTATCCCTACCATAAGACCGCGCAGTCTAATATATATGCCTATGAAGGTAATGAAACAATCAAGTACCCACACTATCCACATACCTTTCCATTTGCGCACTGCTGCTCATTGGTAAAGTAGCAACGCGCCATTATTTAGATGAGTTTATGGTTACATTGGCATTAAATATTATTTTTCAATAAAATTTTAACTTTCGACGCCAAATCTTACGTTAGATAAATTTACAGTCTACTCTTATAATTGTTAATAGACATTACTACTTATTTACACATTTATTTAATGAAATATGTGTTGCAAATTTTTTGTTTGCACTTGTATCTTTAATTTTTGGTCTAGAAAAATATTTATTTGTTATCAATTATATACTACTGCGTATAATACTTCAGTACAATTTATCATTCATTTTTTCTGTTTTTCATTAATTTATACTGCTCCAATTAAAAAATGTATACGCATGTAAAATATAAATCGAGATTGAAATTATTATACCTTCTTTTACCAACATTTATTACAAAATAAATTATTTACATAGTACATTTCATGTATTTTAACTGTTACAAAAAATTTCATTTAATCGTTTTGTCATGGAGTACAGTGGTATACCCATTACAGTATAAAAGTCACCATTTATTCTTTCAACTAGACATCCACCAACTCCTTGTACACCGTATCCTCCAGCTTTATCTCTATCATGAAAATTTTATATAAGATTTATCTTATATAATACAATATCTACTTCTGCAACAAACCAAAATAATTGATACTCACAATGGTTCTCCTGATTTTATATATAGTTCTATTTGTTCTGTAGATATATCTCCAAATTTTACTTCTGTAGATTCATAAAAGTTTATCTCTCTCTTAGGTGTTTTCAAACACATTCCTGTGTAAACTATATGTTCCTTATTTGCTAGACTGCAATATAGTACATCAGTAACATTTACATTTATTCTAATATCACTTATATATAAATTAATTGTTTTACCTTGACAACATTTCAAATGCATGTGACTTATTTTTGGGTTTTCCATAAATAATGTTACCCATTGTAACCATCGTATCTGCACCAATGATTAAAGAAGGTGGTACAGGATCTTCTTTTAATCTATTATATACATCTTCTACTTTATACTTTGCTAAATCCTGAACATAGGCTCCATGACTTGTATATGCAGATCTATCTAAGTCTTCATCATACAATGAGGGCACTACTTCTGCATTTATACCCTAATATGTAAAATAAATATGAATTAATGCAGCATCGTAAAATAAAGCCAGCTATTCTTCTTCTTCTATTTCAGTTATAGAATCAGCATGAAATTAGTATAGAGTAAAAAGCTGCAATTATGAATTATATAATTTTACATTATTGTATTTTATTTATCAATATACTTATTCAAATAGGTTAATTACAGTACTTGATATGATAATGACCAATAAAGATATTTCTTAATACCATAGTAATATACACTCCTTATTACAAAAAAAGATTACCATTTGTTTTATTATTTCATGTCGTCTGGGAGATCCACTAGCTAAAACAACTCTAGTAGTTGTTAAAACTTGCATTGTTTGTTGTAACATTATTTTAAAACAAACTTAACAGATAATTCAAAATAAATGTTGTAAAATCTATAACATAAAAATGTCTTATATTAACTACGAATATAACTGTGGTTTTTTATATTGGTGTCATGAATACCAAATATTTCAGTGCACACGTTTTTTATTCACTTCTGTTATGAAGTCTATTTAATCTTTCTAGATGTCGCTAGGTATGAAGACTTGCGCTAATAAGAAAGTGTATCTGACATTATTACTTTAAATTTCCACTAAAAATCTACTCGCTATTTATCAATTTAAGATACTCAACATTTGCGACAATAAGTATCTTAACAATTTAATCAAAATAAAACTGCATATCATTAAATAACTTACGACGACTTTTATTATTCTGGAATTATATACCACACGCATTAATTATTAAGATACAATATACTGTATAAAAGATTTAAAACAATGGAACTCATTTTTCAAATAACTTATTATCCTACTACTCAATGTAAATAATATATTATGAAATGTGCTATTTTCTGAATGACATTGAAATGTGTCAATCGACTAGTTTATAGCCGGTAAAGACTGGAACCAAAATGGCGGAAATATGTGTATTCTTCTATTTTGCAAAGTTCACAGATTTAAAGAGAATTAAATAATTGTATAAGTAAAGGCTGCACAGGTCGAGGTATAGATAAATACGGAGAAAAGGTACGCCGAAACGATGAGTATGAGATAACACACCTGTGGTGTTGGTTCATTAACAACCGTTGCGAAAAAGGTAGTGGGGAAGGAAGAAGGCGCGAGCACCTTCGTAACTTCCTTGCATCCTCGCTTTGACACTACTTATATTGCAGAATGCATTTTGAACACTGTGTGCCCAATTCGCGAAACGAATCCCGCCTTTCTACAGCGGGCTGACGAAATTACTGAAAAAGGGTCGTGTTCAAGCAGCGCCAGCTGTACCACCCTGGGTCCTCGTTAAAAGGTGGGATCACCATCAAAGGGCGAATACTTTATTGGGTGCAGCCGTGTGGAAGGAGGATGCGACACGTGTTTTAACGTATCTTAAAAATATTAGATCGAGACGGAGAACTATTTTCTAGGTTCAGAAGGCTCTAATACATCGTAATCGTTAAATTACGTAAATGCCGCATGCCATGAACGAACCTAAAGGTCAGTCAGTCCGAGGTCTTACATAATCGTAAGGCGAAAGGTTGACCCATCTTTACGCTGCAGCCTTCTTAGTTGAACAAAGATTTCGCGGCATTTTTTTGCCATACCTCGCATTGTTTCGACGGTGCAGCGCTCTCAACGGCTGAATTAATTAATTCAGAACGAACTCCCGAGGGTGCTTGACACAGCGCATTAGTCTTATTTAAGTCGTGACTGTGAGAGGAGGTTCCCGATAACGGCGAGGAACACGCTCTTCGGAATCAGTTCTTACGTGGAAGATGAAAGTACAGAATGTTTTTTTTTAACGCTGGAGAGAAAAAGTATGGTCATTTTTTTGGAAAAACAATTCTAAGATCTTCGTTGCAATGACACTTTGGAACCATTTTGGAATATTTAGAATCGGAAGCAATGATGTTGGTACAGAAGTCTTAAATCAAATTTAAAAATGTGATTTGATCATATATATATATATTTTTTTTTTGTCGAATTAATTTTGCTAAGTAAACAATTTACTTTGAAATTGTTTAATGTACCTAGTCATTGAGTCACTGATTTACTTTAAAAAAGAATATGCATTATAGTTAACGTAGACCGATTTGTAGGGTGATAAAATACGTTTGCATTCTCGTGATACACAGATAGACGAATTTCTGAAGTTGGATCTTACTATTTAAATATAACCTTCACGTTATCACAATTAATCTGTTAAGAGTCGCAAATTCGACAAAAGAAATTTGTCACGCTTTCTATTTTTTTTGGTATACAAGACTATCTCCCTCTTGGTTATAATATTTATTTTAGGACATTTGTATTGGCTACAGCTAATTTTATATCATATTAAATTATTTCAATATTTTTCACCAGTAGAAAAAAAAGACAGTTTATAGTTGAACACATTTGAATATTTGGAATATTGGGTAACAATTAATTATTTTTATTAGTATTTTACTTCAAATTTATTAATATGTATATATTGTGTTATTTCTCGTGTTTTTCTTTTTTCTTGTGCGCCTAAACCAAGAAAGCAATAGACTAGACGCTGCTCGCTATTGTAATGTTTAAAATCAAGTTGGACTACGGAATATAATAATGAAGTTAAGCGAGCAGGTGGGCTTGCTGTACACAGCCCTTAACGTCTGTTAATTGCCGCTGGTCGATGAGGAGACCCATTTTCACTAATTACATGGTCTTGTAGTTAAGTACGCGGACTGCCACTTCATTAACGTGATCTTTAATTTCTAAACAATTGTGTCTTTTGATGTATCTGTTTTAATGAATTTTTTGAACTTCTGAATCAAATCATAACTTTGCAGTGAAAATTAATGACATTACACGAGCACGATTCTTGAATGTAATATCAGGACTGGTTGAGTAAAAATGGTTCATTTACAACACATTTATAATGTTTATTACAAACTTTTGAAAACATCAACATTGATTACAAAGCATATTAATGGAGGAATAAACTATATTAACGAAAGAAATAACTGTTTAAAATGAGAGTACGTAGCAAAAAAATTCGTATCAAAATCAACGTTGTCTTAGCAATATATTTAAAATTACGATTTTGTAATTTTAAGACAAATTACATTCTTTTCTTATTCTAAGGAGCAACGATTAGTATATATACGTAGAAAGAGGTCGAATGATTCATAGATCGTTTCGTTTCTTGCAACCTCATCTTTTCTCGAATTCCACGATGCATGTGTAAAACACAATTAACACAGAAAAAGCGATTATTTTACGAAATATTTATAAATGATTCAAAAACTTGGAGTCAGTAAAATATCATGCTAGATTTTGTTTTGTATTTTGTATTATTAGTAATACAAAAGAGATATTCTTCCATTTAATTTAACGACCGTATGTGCGACATATGTTCTTTAAACATTTAGGATGTTAAACGAAATTCGTAAAGGTAAATGTATCTATGCAAATATAATTTTTTTGAAATAAAATGGTCAGAAAAATTAATATATTTTCAGGAATGGTATCTCGATTTTAATAATTTAATTATCGAAAAACACGGTTATTTTTCACTGACGTTTTTACCAAGTTCAAAGTAATAAGAGGTTGCGGAAGCATATTTGTTGCAACTGAAGATGCAAATTACACGGACTTGAAGATTCCGTGAAAACAAGGCGGGTTATCTAAAGATCTACATAATCAGAGTCTATGACGAGTAGGATATTAAAAACCAGTTATTAAAGGGTATTCATGGACAGCATGCCAAGATGTACGTGGATGATGTATGCTATTGTTATTTCATGCCTTCGCTTTTTTTACGGAATCGCCAATTCACGGAAACAGAGATTACTGAGATCATGAAAGCATTCTTCGAAATAGCAGGAAGTTTGTTCTGAGGTTTACGCAAACTATGATAGGGTTGTGCATTAATTAACAGGGTGATGAGATTATACGAAAGTGCCGACACTTTGTTTAAATAGAAAAACAATACCGTCGAGTAGTGCATTTTCTTTTGCTTGTCACAATGTATTTACTGTAGTCTTTATCATAGTTTTGGTTACCATAGAAATAATAACAAGATAATAATTAGAAGGTGATACAAGAGAAATGTTAACAAGTTATTAAGAAATTATTAATATTGTTATACATATACATACATACGTACGTGCATATACAAACATTTAATTATGCAAATGGGCTAACTACTAGTATTAATATTGACTAAAGTTTGGAATAAATTATTCCTAAAATATTGATACAAAACTAAAAAAGAAATTTTAGTTTTCTCTATCATTCTATAATCAACAGTTTGATTTATATGTATATACATATATATGTATATAGGTACATATAATATAGATGCGTTTTTAATATATCTGGAAGATGGTATAGGTTAACTAATTGAATAAAATTGTACAATCTACGTGTCTGTCAATAATTTTAAATACCACCCAAATATTAGTCGGCAAATATTTTGTGGCGGAAAAACCTGCACGTTTTTAAGTTCCAAAGTGGTGGGGGCGCCACCAAAAATCTCCCATAAATTCCCAAATTTTTCCGGCACTTTTCTGAATCCAAGATGGCGGAAAAACCTGCACGTTTGTGGCGCCCCCACCAAATGGTGGCGGAAATTAGAACTAATTCTAGAACTTAAAAACGTGCAGGTTTTTCCGCCATTTTGGATTCACAAAAGTGCCGGAAAAATTTGGGAATTTATGGGACACTTAGTGGCGCCCCCACCACTTTGGTGGCGAAAATTTAGAATCAATTATTTTGTTATTATTTATTATTTCTTATTCCTTTTTTGGTTAATTGATACATTAGGAATAGGAGTGGAGATAGTACGGGATTAATGAATAACGTATATGTATGGTTTGACTGTTTTTTATTGACAAATCGTAAGAAAATATACAATTTACAATGGTATTTGTATAAATTTAATAACAATTGTTTTAAATTTTACTTATACATAATACTACTTAATATAAAGGCACCATTTTCGCGTGGCCAACACAAGATCAGGTTGCTTCTATCTGTTTTGAATAAAAAGAAACATAAATGATTAATAATCTATAAGTGATACGCTAGTTTAGATTAAAATGTGCGAGAAGGGTCAAGGAATCCCAATACGCAAATATGTCGTTACGTTTCCTGCCTCGCATCGCCTTCACAGGAGCCCGCGGTTGCCCGCCACTTGCCCGTGCGGGCAACATGCCCGAGCGGGCTCGGTTGCCCATCACTGTTATAGAGTGATCGTATTATTAAGTGCTTGATTATTATTCGAAGAAATTTTATTTAGAATCGGCCAATAAGAAATTCGTCGTTACATGTTGCTTAAGTGAACTTTCAATCGTCGGTGCTTGCTAAATACATATCTAGGAAACGTTAACAAGATGATAGTGC